TATATCGCCATCAGCCACGGCCAGCCTAAAGCCAGGGCTTCATTCCAGGCCGTGGAAAGCACATGGGCCGACACTCCGGACACGGAGGGCAGCTGCAACTCCAACCGTGGTAAGCAGTCGCCACTCCGGTGGTGGCAGCGGCCGTCGTTCCGGCCGTGATAGCGGCCATCCCTCTGGACATGGTAAGCGGTCGTCATTCCGATTATGGCAGGAGCCTTCGCTCCAGCCATGGTGAGGGCCGTCACTCCGGCCATGGATGTGACCAGAGTATTCAGCCGCATAAAATCGGCCACGTCGAGGTCATCATCCCAGATCCTCTCGCCCTCATCAAACTGCCAAGTCATCTGGCCCAGGCCAAATTGCCAAGTCATGAGACTCAGCAGGTTTGATTCCCTGGTTTTAAGGAAGCTACAATGAGGATCATCAGAGTAGTTTGAAATAAGGGTGGGCGAAGCCCAGGAATCAAAGAAGGATTCCAGAGCGATTAAAGCAAGAAAAAAGTTCGCTGGATAATAAAAAAGTTTCAAGTTTGAGGAACGAGGGTTGAGAAAACTGAGGCAAGTCAGTGTGAACTTTCGAAGAAAATAAACTCAGAGATCTTAGGAGTATGAAGGAAAATGCGAAGGAGTTTGGGTTTTTATACTGGCGCTGGAGTTCAAAAACGGAGGTATAATTCTCGAAAGATGAAACCACCTGACAGCACACTCAGAGCACGCGAAATTATGACGAAGACTTGGTGGCCGACGTTTCGATTAGCAGGGCAAAATGATGGCTCGTGCGAATTAAGGGCGCGATGACACGTCGAAAATCCAGAGACAGTCATTTCATTTAACGAGGCGAAGCGACGCCCTGGGCAATGATGGCCTACACGACGTGCTTGAGGCATTAAATGCGCCGACTGGCCTGCGCATTTAATACACCAGTTGTCAATCACTTCAGAAAGGAATGCAAAGGGTCCATCCCTTGGAATCCATTCGACCCCTACCCATGCCGAGGCCGAAAAATCCAGGGATGTGGGGGCAATGTTTGTGCTTGATAAATCTCGGCCATGAGCTGGCCGAAGGCGCTCTTTCTCTCGGCCTTGGCACTTGTTCGTAAAACCGAAACGCAGCGTTTCTCTCTCTAATCCTGATCAACAAATTAGTTTATGGAATTAATCAGTAGTTAACGAATATCGGCCGCTTGTCCGTGCTTCAGGTTTGCGCATTCATTTTTCGCGGATACATTAACTGGCGGCAAGTTTTCCAGCCTTATTCTGGTGCAAAGGAGTATGCCTGCCATGCACAGCATTTGGTGATAGTATACACGTTTATGAAAATTAATTGTTGCTCTCTTGGGATCGTCTCACACAGACATCTGCCAAAATAATTTGTTACAAGATTTTCAGCCCACTCGTCCAGAGTTGCTGGTAAATTTTTTCAATTGATTCTAATCGGTGTATTTTCGGGTTTCCAAATTAAAATTGTAATATTGGGAAAAAAAACATGATCATTAATAATAAATTTTTATCACCTTCAGTTTGCTTGCATATTATTATTAGCCAGAAGCATACATAAGTTATAACCTATGTTGCACGGACACTCCAAAATGCTGGAGTGTCGGACACGCCGACACGCCGACACGGCTCCGACACGCCCCCGACACGCCTTGGACACGGTCAACGGTTGGGACACGGTCAAGACACGGCAGGGACCAGTTTGAAATTTTGAAAATAAAATCTGGGGTCTAAACGTGATTTTTGAAACTTTGGTGGCTGGCGGGCATTGACAGCGGGGACATTGCTTAGAGAAGGATCACTTGCCTGATCTGGGGGATGTTTAGCAAGGGGATTTAGGTGCTTGTACATAGACTATCATTCATGTACACATATATATTTTTAATTGGCCATAACTGGGCGTCTCCTTGTAGATACGAACCTCAATTTTCTTTGAAAAAGAAGTAAAATATTTCTTTCTTTGAAGGATTAAATGTACTTATCTCCTCTCAACTCCTTCAAACTGTTATCCAATTTGCCCGCTTATTGCGGCCCTTATACTTCAACCTTGGCTGTTTCCCATAATGATGGGACGTATTTCTTTAAGTACCGGTCGTTGATTGGAAAGTTGTGACATTCTCCGTCCCCATCCTTTAACTGAAACGCGCCTCGGCCTAGCATTCGTTCAATAATAAAAGGGCCCTTCCCAGTTCGGTGAAAATTTGCCGAACCGTGGATCCTTAGTCCCAATAGGAAGTACGGCGCGCCATACCAAGTCGCCTTCGGCGAAGGTCTTTTGCTTGACTCTTTTGTTGTACGCCCTCGCCGTGATCTGCTTTTGAGCTTGCATCAGATTGTAACCCTCAAGCCTTGACTGCTTTAAATCTTCTAACTCCTAGGCCATGGCTTGTGCGTAGTCCTTCTTATCTTGCGCAAGTCGTTCGGTAACTCGAAGAGACCGAACCTTTAACTCCATTGGAACAACGGCGTCATGGCCGTAGGTCAACGCATAGGGAGAGGTGCCAATGGCCGAGTGCTTTGAGGTTCGGTAAGCCCAGAGAGTTTCAGGAAGTAAGTCATGCCAAGCCCTAGGTTTCTCTTTAATCATCTTTTCAAGAATGCCCTTGATCACCTTGTTGCTTGCCTCGGCCTGTCCGTTAGATTAGGGGTAGTAAGGTGTTGAATGAACCAATTTAATTCCCATCTTCTCGGTGTATTCCTGGGTTTCGGTCGAGGCGAAGACCGGGCCGTTATCGGCCGTAATAGTTTTAGGTATACCGAATCTATGGACGATGTGATTTTCAAAGAACCTGACCACCTGCACGCTAGAGATTGACCGATAGGACTCCGCCTCGACCCACTTAGTGAAATAGTCGGTTGCCACCAGAATCCATGTGTGCTGATTGGATGCGGCCGGATAGATTTTGCCAATGATGTCCACGGCCCACCCTCTGAATGGCCATGATTTAGTAACCGGATGGAGGGCATCGGCGGGTACCCTTTGTATGGGGTCGTAGATCTGACACTTGATACATCCTCTTGCATATTCTATGCGTACAGCTCGTTTTGGTAAATCAAATAACCCCCAACCCGAAAGCACGTAGTCTTTTCATGGTTGCCGGAGGAGTCACGTAGATACTTGACTATAGGGTAGCGTCAATCTGCTTTGGCCGTGTCAACCTCGTTGGTGATTTCGGCCGAAGACACTTGCGTCATCATTCCTCGTTCGGCCAACGCTGGCAGGGTGCGCCTCTCGATTTTGATCACGCGGTCGTGGTCGCCTGATCGGTGCATAATTACATGTCATTTTGCATCCTTCTAACTTATGATTTGGTTATGTTTTTGAGTTAAACTTGTGCTTTTAATAAGTTTTGTGTTTGTTTCAGTGTAATAAGCTTGTGACTCATTAAATGCATTTTGGAGACAAGTTGGCTCATCGGTGTCTGCAGATCAGTCAACTTCATGAATTGGACTGTACTTGCTCAAGAAGAACCAGATAACGAGCCATACATCATTGGAAAGATGCGGAAGTCTAGTTTTTGGAGAATTTTACGGTTCATGATTCCGAGTCTTCTAGAGAAAGTTATACAAGTTTTGGCAACTTAAGGTAAAATTCGGCAGCATCTGCGTTACTGGGCCAAATATCACATTTGAAGGGCTTTCCGATTTTTCCTTGAGCTGGGCTGCATATGCTTGGAAATATAATTCAAAGAGCTTCAAGATCCAGATTTTTCCAGATTTTGGAGGGAAGATCAAGCCCAAAACAAGCCCACAAGCTAACTGCAATGAAGTCAATTCCAGTCTATTTTCGGCAGTCAACTTGCAAGGCCCAAAACGTACACTTGTACTCCTCATATGGGAATACATTCTTCATAAAGGTTGTTCCAATGGGTGTCTATTATGACATATGGCTGGGCTCTAACGAGGACTCCTAAATGAGGACACTATGTGAGGATCAATTTCAGCCATCCAATATAATCTCAATGGCTGTAGAGAAAAAGCAAGCTTACTATGTAAGTGTGTATGCTACAATTTCCCTCCTTTGGCATTCGCGCCTTTTCTTCTTCCTTTTTTTTTTGGTGAAAACCAAGATATCCCCCGCGCGATTGCGAGGACTAACCCTCGAGGTACTGTCGGGCGCAAACCCCAAAATCTGAAAACCCAAATACCCAGAAGCTCATAACGCCACCCAAAATCCAGATTAAAGAAAAAATTGTTTTCATTTGTGCAAAATCTTACAACCCAAAATCTCATTCCGTTTTCCATCTGGATTTTGAGGCAGGGGTAGTAGAATAGAAACCAAAACCAGCACGTTGGTCATCCACATCACGCGTTTCTCTCTCTCTCTCTCTCTCTCTCTCTCAGATAGAAACCAGAAAGACGCTTTTTTATTTGGGTGAAAACCCTAACTGGAAAGTTCATCACTCTTGAGGTTGTGACTATCGACAACGTGAAAGGCAAGATCCAGAGGTACTGTTTCTCTCTCTTCCTCTTTCTCTTCCTCACTCTTTGCTGTAGAAGATACTTTGTATCGAGAAACTTGAAAGATAGCAATTCACGTTGCTGCCCCAATTTGATTAGGACGAAAGTATGGATGATTCTGATGTTGCTGATGATGATATCTTTAGTATTTAATTGTTTTTGGTTGTATAGAAAACAAAGACGAAAAATTTGATTTTGAATGATTTAGGTGATTATTTCATAGGGGTCAATGCTAAGTGATTATCTTTTAGTCTTGAATATGGGTGATCTGACAAGACATATTGAATTTCTATTCTGTATCTTGCAAAGAAGTGGGTAATATGGATTTGGGTAATATGGATTTGGGTATCTTATTCTGTATCTTGCAAATAAGTGGGTAATATGGATTTGGGTATCTTATTCTGTATCTTTTTTTTAAGAAAGAGGTATCCGATTGTGTATCTGAATGTCTTGATAACAGTGTGAATAGTATGGATTTGGGTATCATATGAGTATCTTTTTTAGAAAGATGCAGTAGGAAACTATTACAATGGCTAGGATAATGTCATTTATGTTTTATGGAAAGAATACTCTTAAGTCTGAACTGGCCACATGAACAATCCAGTCTTCCTTTATCACCGATAATAGTGTCGATGTGTATCTGAACCAACACGAGAATACTGTGAGTAGTTTGGATATCAGTATCATATGAGTATCTTAATGTGTTCATTATAGTGTATGGATACTGGTATCAGAGTCTGTAACTGAATGTGTTGATTATATGTCATTCGTATGGATTTAGGTATCCTTTTTGTGTATTTATTGTGATGTGAGTAGTATAGATATGAGTATATATGTTTATTGTAATGTGTTTCTTCTTCTTAAATTTTGTGAAAAAAGGACCTTTCCTCTCCCCATAAAAGAAAATTAGCTTGGCTCCTTGTGAGTAATGAGTAAATTAATCTTACATAATGAGGTGGATAAATCACAATTTGACGCATATCTACTTAGAAGGAGAATGACTTCTTTTGACGCATATCGTACTTAGTGTCATTTTAGTTTACTTGTACTGGTGTACTTTGACAGCTGTAGCTTACATGACAATTGCATATTAACCTCAGAAAATTTGTCCTTTGCAGGAACCGAAAAAGTTCAATGATTTTCTGCGCACTCTATGTATATTCTGCCAGGAGAAAGCCCTCAGCAGTTTCTGTGAATTTCTTGCATCCAAAGAGCTCACCTTGATTTCAAAGACAGAAGCTATAGACAGGTTTCGTGCTCTTATGCTCTTTCCGGTTATTGAAGTGCTTGTTTTCAAGTCAATTACAGTTTTTGTATCTTTCTCATTTCTTTCAGCAGTCATTTATTTGAATTTTTGTTCCTATATGTTCCCAATGCAGTGAAGTTAGGGATGATGAAGCTAGGAATTTTCTGGTCAAATCAGAGCCAAAGATGGAATGAGTGCTTGAGTGCTTTAATTGGTGTCTTGTGGCTATTTGCCGAGAGTTACATCAATGTACAGAACCCACATTACAATAAAAATTACAGTTTTTGTATCTTTCTCATTTCTTTCAGCAGTCATTTATTTGAATTTTTGTTCCTATATGTTCCCAATGCAGTGAAGTTAGGGATGATGAAGCTAGGAATTTTCTGGTCAAATCAGAGCCAAAGATGGAATGAGTGCTTGAGTGCTTTAATTGGTGTCTTGTGGCTATTTGCCGAGAGTTACATCACATTATGATACAATAAACACATATCTATATGAGTATCATAATGTGTTTATTGTAATGTGGTTTTGTATCATAATGTGTTTACATCAATGCTACAATAAATAGATGTATGATTATGGCTGAATGTTTAACTGCCTCAGTTTTGAACTTGAGAGGTATTACCAATCGTGTGAACACACATGCAACACTGTTTTGTTTTGATTATGGTGATGTGAATATATTAGCAATTCAGTCTGAACACAGAGGTGCATGTTGTTTAATTAGAAAGGTTTATTTTTTTTAACTTGAGGAGCCGAAAAAAATATGTACATACAATATTGTCATACAATAACCGTGATACAATATGAGAAGGGTGGATAAAAGGATGTTATGCCATATTGTCATACAATAACCTGAAAGCACTTCCCAATGTACATATGTGAAAACAAAATGTAGTAGTCGTTTGGGTTTTACCCCTTACTAGTTGATCAGTTTACAAACAGAATATTGAAAGTGATTCCCCATGTATCCCAGTGGTGGGTTTGGGGTTGGTTTCGGTTTCTTTATCCTTGGTTTCGGTTTAATCGTGAGACTCAAGACGACATGGTTGATTTCAA